GCCGTTTCCCCCCATTTCATTCCCTATAAATAGGGGCTTCCGGATTTCCTCTAACTCTATTTGCCATTTTTCTTTCCTCATGCATTTTCCATTTTCGGAGGCAAGACTTCCGGCTCTCAGTGCCCAGACTCCGGCGGTTCCTTCATTTTTCCCATTCTACTCACCAGTAAGTCATTTTCCTTCCTCCTTCACTCTCTTTTTCCTTTGCCACCTTCTGTTTTTTATGTCGGATCGGTCCGGCGTCACTTCCACTGCCTCTTGGATTCTTGCCCACCGTAGAGCACTTAGGATTCTCATTTCATCTTCGTCTTCATCTTCATCTCTCCCTCCTCCTTTTTCTTTCTCTTCTACTTCTAATTCTAGCTTCCACATTCCTGATTTGCTTGAGCCCATAGTCATCATGAGTTCTCCATCTGCCCGAATCCTGGAGGAGGTTGCCGAGCTCGATGCCCTCATCGAGCAGCAGGCCACTTTTGTTCCCTCCCCCAAGTCTCCTCATGACTCTCTTGGTGGAGCCCAGGGAGGAGCTGGGGAGGACAGGGACTCCTCTAAGGGGACCCATGCTTCCGAGCAGGGAAATGATCCTGGATTCGACTTCGATCATTCTGACCAACACGAAGTCACCCTCTCACCCGAGGTAATGGCCGAGCTGGCCCGATTTTTTTCTATTCCTCCGGTCTTCGAGCCGAGAGCTGCCGGGCCAGCCGACCTCCCCCTGGCTTCGTGGCCATTTATAGGGAGCAGTTGGTCGGGGGGCTCCAGCTCCCCATTCCTCCAGCCCTAACCAAGATCCTGAGCTATTGGGGGCTCAAGATCACCCAGGTCCATTCCAACTCGATCAGGATCATCATTGGATTCCTGATCTATTGTCAGATCTGCTCCATCCCCTATTCTCTCTCTCTCTTCCGAGCCTCCTACACTCTCAAACTCTCCCTCCCTGAGTGGTACTACTTCTCCCGCCGAACTATGAGCAAAGTTCGGGGGGGGAGGGCACCCAGGATCTGCTCTTTGGCGTCCCCTCTTCCATAAAGAACTGGAAAGGGGATTTCTTCTTTGTTAAATCCACACATTTCCCTCCTAATGTGTGGAAGGTCGGGGAGGTTGATTCCGACCCTTTCCGAAGGATTTGGACTCCGAAACCCTCAGCCAGCTGGTGAACTCCAGGGTGAAACTCTACGCGGCCAGGTTCTCCACCGAGCAGATTTCTGCGGCCAAACTGATGGGGACGATGTTCCGGTCCCCTGGAGAGGTGGTGCCCTCCCCGACAGACTACGACACTTGTAATGCCGACTCTGTCCCCCTATTATTTATTGCTTCCTTCTTCCGTTTACTGACTTGTATGTACTAACCTGGTGGTGTTTGATGTAATGAGGAGGCTTTCCAAGCTGTTGGGCACGCCTTCCGAGCCGATCACTCCCACTCCACAGCCGGAGGCCGCCAAGAAGGCCTCTCCGACTCCTGGGGGTAGCTCGGGCCCCCAGAAGGAAACATCGTCCCCCTCCAAGCAGGTCGCTAGTAAGAAGAAGGCGGCCGGGCAGAAGAGGGGCCCAGGGGACGAAGCCCCCCAGCCCGAGAAGAGGCTCGCGCTCACCCCAGCTCAGCCCCCTCTCCAAGCTGTACATAGCCAGGCTTTCATATCTGAAGAGGCGCTGAACTCTCCATCTGGAGTAGAGAGAAAGCATATGTTCCCTAGTGTGAAGGGTGCGGATATCTAGCATCACCAACTCTCCCGGTATATGAAACCTGCTGCCGTTTTTTCCTCTTGTCAGCAGTCACCTGCAAGAGGTTTGTCCGCCTAAGGGTAGCGACCACTCCAGAAACCCTTTCCATTTTCCTTTTATAGCTCGGTAGGCTTTGTAATAGATAGGTTGTATACACGTAATTCGAATGAAATTATCTAATCTCGATTTGCAATTCTCGCCTGCGCTAACTCTAACAATCAAGGTCATATGCCAACCTCCCGGGTCGAGCACCAAATAGATCCATCAAGGCAGCGTGCCGGCCTCTTGGGTCGAGCATCTATCACATTTTAATCTAACAACTAAATTGTCAAGGACAATCAGACTGGGGAATCAACAAACTTCATCAAACAAATTCCCGCCGTGCCGACCTCCTGGGCCGAGCATCAAACTTTAAAGGCACCCATGCCGACCTCCTGGGTCGAGCGTCAAGATTTTAAAGATAGTCCTGCCGACCTCTTGGGTCGAGCATTAAACTTTAAAGGCATTCCATCCGTTACCATTCATCCCCAGCCCCCCACTAGGACACTTAGCATTGTCTGAGTGTGCTAGTGTAGGATCTAAATTTAAAAGTTAAACGGTGTTGATAAAAGGAAGGTTCAAAGTCAAGCGTTTATTTAATGATGAACTTGTATGCGAATTCTGAAGAGTAGACAGTGAGATACCCTAGCCCAATCTAACCTACGAACAACCGCAAGTTTGAGAAGTGCCAAGTACGGGGTACTTCCGCTCCATCTAGTTTCGTAAGCCTGCAGTACCTAGTTCGGCTCGCCTCCAGGACCTTGGACGGTCCCTCCCAGTTCGAGTCGAGCTTGTTGGAATTATGGGCTCTGCTGACGGAGTTTCTTCTTAAGACGAGGTCTCCTGGCTAGTACTGCATGTTTCTCACTTTTGCGTTATGATGGCGGGCGAGCTGGCTTTTGTACTTAGCCATCCGTATCGCCGCTTCCTCGCGCTTGGCCTCCAGCATGTCCAAGTTATACATCAGCTCTTCTTCGTTTGCTGACGCAAAGAAGTTCTGTGTCCGAGACGAGGGGAGACCGATCTCCGCGGGCACCACCGCTTCTGCCCCATAAGTCAGGAAAAACGGGGTCTCCTGAGTGGGCGTCCTCGGAGTGGTGCGGTAGACCCAGAAGACACTAGGAAACTCATCTAGCCAGTTAGACTAGGTCAGCTCCAACCTAGTCTTCAATCCTAGCAGAATGGTTCGGTTAACGTTCTCTACCTGGCCATTTGCCTGGGGATGACCGACCGACGTGAAGTGTTGGCTGATCCCGCGCTTGGTGCACCAGCTCCGGAAGGGGTTTTCGGCGAACTGCCGCCCATTGTCAGATATCAAGACATGTGGAATCCCGAAGCGGCAGACTATGTTCTTCCAAAAGAATTTCTGAACTACCTTTCCAGAGATAGTGGCCAGGGGCTCGGCCTCCATCCACTTTGTGAAATAGTCGATGGCCACCACGAGGTGCTCGTACCTTCCGGGAACTCGGGGAAAGGGGCCTAAAAGGTCTATTCCCCACTGGGCAAAGGGTCAAGGGTTGTGGATGGGGACCATCTCCCGAGTGGGCTGGTGACGCAGTAGGGCGTGCACCTGGCAAGCTCGGCATTTCTGAACTAGAGCCGCAGCATCTTGAAACACTGTGGGCCAATAGTAGCCTAAGAGCAGGCACTTTTTGGCCAACACCCAGGATCCCACATGTGCCGCACATAAGCCTTCGTGAACTTCACGGAGGATGTAGTCGCTCTTCTCAGGAGTCACGCACTTTAGCCAGGGAGGCAGATACGACCTCCTGTAAAGGGTCCCCCCGGCGTAGGCGTACTTAGCAGTTCTGAGCTGGAGTCGACGAGTTTCGGTTCTATCCCCGGGAAGGACACCCGAGCCGAGAAAGTCCATGAGAGGAGTCATCCAGGAGGCCGGGCTGGCTATAGCCAAGATCCGGATCTGGTCAATGCTTTTTTGTTTGACCACCTCTACCAAGACTTCCTTGCTCAAGTGAGCAAACGAGGAGGACGCCAGTTTTGACAGGGCGTCCGTGCGCTTGTTCTGTGATCTCGGCACCCACTCGATTTCAAAGGCATCAAACAAGGTTATCGCCTCTCGTGCCTTAACCAAGTATTTTTTCATGACGTCCTCCTTAGCTTCATACTCCCCGCGGATTTGGTGGACTACGAGCTGAGAGTCGCTCCAGACTTTGATCGCGGTTATACCCATCTGGTGGGTTATCCGCAACCCTGTCAATAGAGTCTCGTACTCAGCCTCATTGTTGAATGCCGGAAAGTCGAATCTGAGCGCGTAGGTCAACTCTTCCCCGATGAGCGAGGTGAGCAACAAGCCGGCCCCGCTCCCTTCCTTACTCGAGGCCCCGTCTACGGATAGTACCCACGGCTCTTCTGGCCGTGCCTACTCGGGCGGAGAGTTCGGCTCAGCCATGGACAAACTTGCCCCCTCGGCAAGGAAGTCTGCCAAAGCCTGAGTTTTGATAGCAGTGCGGGGCTGATAGCCGATGTCGTGCTCGGCCAATTCGACGGCCCACTTGGTCATCCTACTCGAGACCTCGGGTTTCGTGAGTATCTGTCGCAAGGGCTGATCGATCATGACTACAATGCTGTGGGCTTGGAAGTAGGGTCGGAGTTTTCGGGCGGCATGTACCAAAGCGAGGACCAATTTTTCCGCCGGTGTGTACCGCGCTTCCGACCCCTGTAAAGCTCGGCTGACATAGTATATTGGCTTCTGGGCCTCCCTATCTACCCGCACCAGAACCGCGCTAACGGTCTCGTTGCAAGCGGACAAGTATAGGAACAGAGTTTCCCCCTGCTCCGGGACGGTCAGGGTGGGTAGTTCGGCCAGATATGCTTTCAGGTCAGCGAAGGCTTTGTGGCATTTCTCAGTCCATTGAAAGTCCTTAGGTGCTTTTAGAATCCGAAAGAAGGGCAGCCCCCTCACCGCGGAGCGCGAGAGGAATCTATTTAGGGCGGCCATCCTTCCCGTGAGCTGCTGGACTCCTTTATGCTCCTCGGAGGGGCCATGCCCACGATGGCCTGGAGTTTATTCGGGTTGGCCCGGATCCCCTCTCGGGACACCAAGAATCCTAGAAACCTGCCCGACCTAACTCCGAAGGTACATTTCTTCGGGTTCAGTCGCATTCGGCTCTCCCATAGGATATCCAAGATCTCCCTCAAGTCGGGGATGAGCCGCTAGTCAGTTCGGCTTTTAACGATCATATCGTCCACGTAAACCTCCACGCTCCTGTCGATCTGATTTTAGAATAGTTTGTTGACCAGGCGCTGGTAGGTAGCTCCAGCGTTTTTCAGCCCAAACGGCATAGTCCGGTAGCAGTAAGTTCCTTCCTCAGTGATGAAGGAGGTCTTCTCCCGGTCTTCTTCGGCCATCTCTATCTGGTGGTATCTCTTGAAGGCATCCAGGAAACACAAAACGTCAAAACCCACAGTAGAGTCTACTAACCTGTCGATCCTCGGCAAGGGGAAGCAATCTTTCGGGCAGGCCTTATTGAGATCTGTAAAGTCCACGCACATCCTCCAGGACTGGTCCTCCTTCTTGACCAGGACAGGATTAGCTAATCAGGTCGGGTAATACACTTCTAGGATGATCTTGGATTCCAACAGCTTGACGACCTCCATCTTGATCACCTCGTTCCTTTCTAGGGCGAAACTCCTCTTCTTCTGCTTCACCGGCTTGAAGCGAGGATCCACATTGAGGTGGTGGACGGCCAGACCAGTCGAAATTTTAGGCATGTCTTCAACCGTCCATGCGAAGACCCGGGAATACTCCCTCAATAGGACCTTCAAACCCTCCTTCTCCTCAGAGGGTAGCCGTGCACCAATGCGGAGGACCTGGTCTGGCCGATCTTCCCTCAAGGGGAACTCCTCGATCTTGTCCTGAGTGCCCAGCTGTCGAGCCTCCTTCCCCGGGATGTAGGGCTCCAAACTGGTCATCTGGGTGACCACCTTCTCCTGTCCCCGAAGCATGGCCAGGTAGCAAGCTGTGACCACTTCTGGGTCTCCATGCACCTCAGCTATCCCTCCGGGGGTGGGAAATTTGACGCTGAGGTGGAGCGAGGAAGGAATAGCTCGGAGGGCGTTCAGAGCGGGCCTCCCCAAGAACACATTGTACGGGGATGGCTGTTTGACCACCACAAAGTTGACAGGGATGGTCCGGCATTTGGGGGCCTACCCTACCGTAACCATCAGGGTGATCATTCCTTCCGGATTGATGGGTGGTCCGGTGAAGCCTACTAGGAGTGTCCGAACCGGGGTCAACTGTCTATCCTCCAAACCGAGCTCTTTGAACATCCGGTAAAACAGGATGTCCACCGCACTCTCTTGGTCGACATACACTTCTTTACCCGATAGTTGTTGGTGACGACGTCTATCATGATGGTCTCGTGGTTCCCGGACGCCAGGGGAACCGCATCCCTTGGACCGAAGGTGATCTCTTCGTCCATGGGCAAGCGCTTCAGGGAATCATCCCCCTCGGGGGGAGGTCGCCTGTTCTTCCGAGCTGCATGGCTGTCCCCTCCGTGGGGCCCCCAGCGATGATGTTTATCAGCCCCGCTAAGTTCTGGAGGTCCTGGTCGGGGAAGTTGCCCCGAGGAACGTCACGCCGCTCAGGGCGGTCGCGACGCTGGCCCTCGCCCCTATCTCCGCGGTAGGTGCGTCCCGGCTCCTGACCCGGTCGACCTTGCCGCACAAATCGTCCCAGGAAGCCGCGCTAGATCAGATCCTCGATCTCCTTCCGCAAGGCCCAACACCCCTTCGTGTCATGCCCAACGTGAGATTCGCGGGAAGTAAAACAGTCGGGAGTAATTGGCGAATAGTGAGCGTACCCTGTGTAGTTGGTCTGCATTACCATTTATACCTGCTCGAGAGTCCGACCTCCGTACGCTTCGGGACTTACCCGGTATAGCCTCAATCCCGCGCCGAGGGGGATTCTCCCCGCCCTCTGCGGGATTGTTCCCTAGAGCCTTTCGGTGCCCTAGTGGCGGTGTGCCCCAGGACTGCTGTCAGGGGCCTGGGGTCCAAGCCCAGCTCTGCCACTCCTGGGCTGCCACGTGTCCAGTGTGACGTCCCGAGGCAGAAGAAAAGGGAAAAATTTCTGGTGAATAGTGTTTTGTGGAGAATCCGGCCAGAAGCCGTGCAAATTCCTTATATTTTTCTTAAAATATTCCTTTTTCTTTGACAAATACCACTTTATAATGGTCCTACTACTCAATCACCCCACAATAAGTGCCAATGAACCTAGAAAGTAGGGTTTCACTTTTGGTTTCAAGATTGGAGCAAAATTAGGGTTTTCGCGATTTTCGCCGGATGAATTTTCGGTATGGAGCAAGGATCAAATTTGGTGATTAAAAATAACTTTTAAGTGAGAAATAATATGTGATTAGAAGCAATGATACAAGATTAGTGAATAGGAAGTAAAAACCCTAGTACGTGTGTTTTTAAGAAAAACGGCGCGAACCGGCGGGTACCGCGCACTAGCGATTGAACGCACCACTTGACCACCACTTTCTTACCATACAAGCTTATTGATATTTGGGCAAAATATCTTCTCAATTTCCAGCTAGCTTGACCGAAATTTGAGGCTAGAAATGCAAGAAAGAAAGAGAAAAAAATGAAAGGTGGTGGTGGCGACACTTGTCGCCACCTAAGGGCTTCTTGACCAAGAGAGATGGTCTTCCTTTTTAGCCCAATTTTTGCTCATTTCCCTTCATTATTTCAGCAGCTTGGCCGAACAAGAGAGGAGAGAAAGAGAGAGCAACAAACAACTTCCTTCTTCTTGATCTTAGCCATCCAAGTGAGAAATCAAACTTCCAAACCGATTAAAGTGCTAGTTGTGAGTTGGGAAGCTAGGGGAACTAGAAATTTCCAAAGGAGATGGAGTATCACTCTTCCAAGCTTTGTCTTTGAGGTATAAGATCTGATCATGGTTCTTGCTCTTTTAAATTTTGGTTTAAGATGTTATCTAGTTCATGTTTTGGCTTGATTACAAGATATGCAAGTTGTTGGGATAATTTTGGATGATATATGCAAGTTAGGGTTTAATAAATTTCTGCCTAAACTTGTTGTATGATTAGTATATGTTGTATATAAGATTATATAAGGGGCTTTGGTAGTGTTGGAAGCAAGAAATACATAGATTGTCATGAAAACCCAAAAACTCCAGATTTCTGGAATTTTATGTTTACATTCTGCCCGGTTTTAGTACTCATAGTTAGAAGCCGAATTAGACTTGACCTAAAACATAAAAGTTGTAGATAATGGTATTTTATAGGTGCCTACAACATTTCTGCCCAATCGGAGCTATGTAGACTGTGAAAAGGCCAAAATACTCTCGCTGCTCTAGGATGCATTCCAGTGATCCGTTTTGGACAATTCATCCAGTTAATCATATTTATTCACTATGTTCCGTACTGATTTAGCTATTTTACAAAACATGAAAGTTTTAGTATTCTGTCTTAGCTTTTAAACGCCTCCAAGAACACCTTAATCGGACCTTGGTAACCAGAGATAGAGTCATTTAAAAGTAGTGCAGTTAATTAGCCGACTAGTTGGATTTTGGTTCTGTAAATTGGGAATTTGACTTGGTTGCATTGGAAACTGGACTAAGTGATCTTCATAAAAATTGTAGCCCTGTGTCTTAGCTTCGAAATGGTATAAGTTACGCCACAATCTGATAAGCGTAGCCTCAGATGTGTTCTTTCGGCAACCACACGTCAAATCTGTCTTTTGCTAGGTTACATTTCCGCACTTGTTATCACTTTGATTTTTGTTCTTATGTTGTTATGAGCCTATGGAATGGCTATTTACTTGAATCTATGATATGAATGACTTTGGGATTGGTTGAGGAAAAATAATGAGGCCATAAATGGCTGGAAAATTAGGTAAACACAAGGGGCATGCTGCTAAATTTTCATGAGAAAGATAAACTAGCCTTTGGAGTTCTAGTTCTATATTTGGCAAATTTGACTTGGATACACTGAAAACTAGGTTGAGGTGTCTTCATGAAAGGTGTAACTCTTTGTCTAAGCTTCGAGACACTACCTAGTACATTTTGATCTGATAATCACAGCTCCAGTTATAGGCAAAATCGTGTAACCCGTTTTGTACCATTTTCATTTCCGCGCACGCTCGATGCATTCCTTTACTGTTTTTCCGCTTTGATCATTTTAGTCCTTATTTCTATTTGTGATCTAGGGCTTGGACTTGAGCAAGACAATAATAAATGATGGATGAGGTTCGTGAGTCGTGGTTGGTGAGTGATCCCTCGACTATTTCCAAAGTTACTTTTGAACTAATTCTTGCATTTATGACTCCATTGCATATCATTTGGGTTCGGGTGTGTGCCATGACATAATTTGGCTCCAATGAGTTCCTGGAAAGTCTTGTGCTTAGAACCAATGTCTCCACTACTGTTTACACATTCTTTGGAGCACGATGGCTCCTTACTTTTGTTTCACGATTACCTGATCTAAACGAGCATTGGATATTTGAGTACAAGAACTTCACTGGCTCTCTTGAGCAATAAATGAACATTTGATTACTGCATCATGACATCATATCAATGCTTTATTGTGAAATATACTTGGCTGTTGATTTACTAGTCACTCCCTGAGCTTCTAACTCATCCCCTATTATCTTCTTCTCCCCACAGGGATCGAAGTAAAGGAAGAACTTGTATTTGGATCTATGTGTGGCTGGATGGCGTACATCTTGTATAGTTTAGATTTGGTTTTGGTTTGTGTACTTTTGGGCCTGTATAAATATTTGGAATTGAATCGGATGTATATCTACATTATACGCTTAGAACTAGTTTCCGCTTCGCTTATGATATGTAATTTTTGGAGAATTGGATGTATTATTCGAGTTGTACCTTGTAATTTACTTGAGGAATGTAGTAAGTAAGTGAGTCCTGGCGAGAGTTGGGCAGGCGGTCCGCTAAACCCTTTGGTTCGTTTTAGGGGGAGGTGGGGCCGTCACATCCAGGCCCAGGACGGGGCCTCTACAGGCAGTTTTATTTTATTCATGGTTATCGGGAGGTCAATTCTACGGTGGATGCTTTTGCTCGACTCATCAGTACCAGCCAAGTTTCTGCCATTTATCATCCTCAGAATTTGCCGCGACTTGTTAGAGGCTCAGTTAATCTAGATAGGATGCATTTTCCTTAGTTGAGATTTTCATAGACTTGTACTTTTCAAAAAAATAATTAATAAAATTCCTAGGTTTCCAAAAAAAAAAAGAATTGAAAACATTATTGCAAAGCTATAGAAAATAAAGAAGGAAACTATAAGTTGACAAAGAAAGGGTATTAATTGGAAAAATAGGGAATTAATTGTTACCAAAATACACTTGAAGGGTAATCTTGAGGGTATGTGGTGTTTGTTATGTCCTTGACAAAGGTAAAAGGTAACATACCCTTTAAATTATACAAAACAATATAAGCTGAATAACTAGCAAAGCAATGCATAAATAGCTTGAGTACGAATAGTTTACAACCCTAATTTTCATCGATTATAACATAGAAATCATGATGATTCACTTGTTTGCAATTATGTGTCTTAGATAGGCACTTAAAATTGTGTTTTGAATGGGTTTCTTGTAGTCATCTTCTCTTAAGCGGCACCAAAGTCCATGCAAAAAAAAATTGCTATTATTCCTCTGCTGCGGATGAAACATCACCACAGCCCAAGCTGGACTTAAAGTTTGAGTCATTGGATTCTATCAGGCATTGAATAAAAATGAAAATGAAAATTGTCTTTAGCAGATATATTCTATCCATCTCTTTTGAACACCATTGAAATTTTCATACTTTTTATTTTGGAATATCTTAAAATATTTATCAGATTACAAAAGTCAAGATCATCCTTAACCTCTATTATCAATGTTGCTCCTATCTTTATTTATATGTATGTTACATTCAAATTCAAAATCTGAAATTTCGAGGGTAAAATTGAAAAGAAAAATATAAATATCACAATTAAAAAATTATTATTAAAGAATTAGATACCTAAAGAGTGATATATATACACATATATATATATATATATATATATAGAGAGAGAGAGAGAGAGAGAGAGAAGAGGGAGTATTAAATTTGAGTGGGGTGTGGTAGGCCTCTGGAATTCATCAGACCAGGTGCCTTAATTGGCCTGAGCAATAGTCCAGCAACAAGGTACTCTTGGGCTAGTTTGTAACCTCGATGGTCCACACAAACAACATTAGCACTCTGTCGCAATACGTTGGGCTATTTGCTATCCTTTGTCGTCGACAAAGCAGAGTACCTTCGGCTATGTATTCCAGGCTCATTGCTATCCTTTGTCGTCCAAATGTAGAGAGACTGCTTGTTTAATATGTCTCACACCAGGGTTTCCGACGATAACATAGGTCAATAGAAACTAGATCAGGGCCTCTACAATTGTCCGTACTAATTAAATCGGGCAGTGTAAGT